GTCCTTTTTCAATATTTTATTTTGACACAGAGCCTCACTAAGTCACTGAGACTGGCCCAGAACTTGCAATCTTCCTGCCTCAGCCTTCTGTGTCGCTGGAGTTACAGGTGTGAGATACTACACCCAGCCACCTTGCTCTTTTTAGTGTTTTATTATCATATCCACTACATCTGTACTTATGCAACCTCTCAGCTTTCTAAACCAGTGTCTGTGGCTCTTTTTTTTCTTCTTCATATTTATTTTAGGCATCTTTTCCAAAAATCAGATTTTTCTTCTCTTGATCATATCTATATTTTAACTTTCCAGTTCATTAATTTTTGCTCATATTTCATAAATTTCTTTCTTCTATTTGAGGGTATTTATTTGGCTATTCTTTTGCAGACTTCTTGTGTTAAAACATATCTTATTCCAATTCAGCCATGCTCAATTTTTAATAAATGTGATGGCTTCATGTACCTCCTCCTGAGAACTGCCTAGACCATCCCACAATGTCAGCAAGTAGTGCTCTCATTCATTTCTGACCACTTGACTTTTTCATTCTGACTTTTCTCGAAAAACCAAAATTATTTAGAAAGGTGATGAGAAAATTACACCTTGATACATCCTTTTAAGAATGTACTTTTGAGTTCATTTCTAACTGTTCTATTATGGTCAGAGCACTACTTCTTTTTGGAATTAGTATAGGTCTTATTTATGGACAATATCTTTGTCCATTTTTGTTAATAATCCTGTATGTGTCTCAAAAGTCCTAATTGGTTTGTCCTCACTCTCAGACTTGGTTATTGATTCTATTAATGTTGTCACTTCTCTTTCATGATCCAGGTTGTCCTCATGTGTTTAGGGACTCTGGGTTGTGTGTACTTATGGTATTTGTCACCTGTCTCTGAATGCAACTTGTGATTACTATCATGGAAGCAGCAGACACCAGTCAGTTTCATAGTATTTTGAAGCACTCAACAAATGAGGGGGTTCAACCCTGGGGTTTCTGCTGAAGTGGGTGGTCTCCATTAACAAGCCTATCTTGTAGCTGAGTTTCATAGAACAGAATAACTTGCCCAAGCTCAAAACCTGTGAATAACAAAACTGGGCTCCTAACCAGACCATCTGGCCTAAACCCATTCAGTTCTCATAATGCCTCTACCAGCCCAAGTCTTTCCAGTGCCAACCAGGCCCCTCCCAGTTCCTAATGCCCACTAACCAGACAGCTGTTAAACAGAATGTTTAAATATATTTCTTTTCCTTTTATTCTTAAAAAAAAGAGAGAGAGAAGTCAACAATAAGCTTCACACACTGCAGAAAGTGTCATGAGTTTCAACTTCCCCTCCTTCCAGAATCACTGTACCCTTAAAATCCTAGATAAAAATCTCCAAAATGGTGGAGACTCCCACATAGAATGATCTCCAATCCAGACTTTGGCAGCTCAAGGCATTGAGGAAATAAATTAAGGCGAGGGAGACTCCTAGCTGGTCTTGCCCAGCTCTATCTCACAGATCCAGGAGAAGAGCCTCCAGCAGACATCATCATTCCAGCGACCATCATGGGTAAAGTGGGCACAGTCCTCGCCTCCTCCCAGCCCATGCCCAGTCCAGTCATCAGGCTGATTTGGACTCCAGTACCTGCGGACAAATCATAGCTGTGTACCCAGGGAGGTCAGATTCAGAAACATTCCCATGAGCCCCTCCCACCTTCGAGACACAGGCTAAGAAGCCAGATTAGGAGAGGACACAAACTCACTTAAAGCCTCTCTCATAGTCAGTCCCATCCACCCATCTCCAAGGTCCATTTTGGTCAGTGAGGCCCATCCAGGAGGGCACAGAGCTCATGTGCTTCTCAATGAATTTCTGTGGAGAAAACAAGGGGTTGATGACCTTTCCCTTACATCAGACAGCCAATAAGAGGAGCTACCAGGCTTACCTGCTCTTCTAAGGAGGTGACCACCACCAGGTGGGAGTTCTGCAACTGGCAGTTCTGGTCAGCCTCAGGCCAAGACTTGTCAGATTGAGAGAACCAGTAGCAGCTGCTTTCATGCTCCAACCAGTCAATGGGGCAGCAGGTCTTTTCAGAGCCTGAGGGGGGAAAAAGGGATGGAGGAACTAAGGAATGGCCTAGAGCACCTTCAATGGTGAAGTGGAGCCAGCCATGCCTGCCCAGCTCCTCACCATTGTTCTTGAGGTTGGCCAGCTGGCAATTAAGAGTTACTACATTCTTTGCCAATCGTTGTACTTGCAGGACCACCTCAGATTGACCTGAAACATAGACACAGGGGGACAGATGAGAGTAATTTGGGTATGAACTCTACTCAGGCACCCCACTAGGATCTTCCTGTGCTCCTACAAATACATCATGCCAAGGTACACTGGAACAGCCATCTGACCTGCTTTGAAGTCCTGCTCTTGTTTCTGCAGGCTGCTCTCCACTGAAACCACCTTCTGGTTCAAGCTGTGAGCTAGAGGGGAGAGGGTTCAGCACCAGGATGCTTCTCCCATGCACACCCTTTCATATGCTTTTGGAGAACAAGGTCTCTCACCTGCCAGCAGTTCCTCCCTGTGATCCTCCACCTCAGCTTTCAGAGAGGTTATGGTTTCTTGCAAGCTCTGACCTGGAGGAAACAGGGACTTGAGATCAGGAGTCAGCCCACACACACATACACCCAGCCCAGACCCCACCCAAGCCCAGCTCACCATGGGAGGTCAGTGCCTGGACATTGGCCCCTGTGTTTACACTGAAATTGCTGAAAGTTGTCCTCAGGGTGCCCAGGTCCCTGTGTAACTTGGAATCTGATGAAGAGGATGAGATGATCAGAACTAAGATTAATCAGGTCCTCTCTGCCAGCACAGAGCAGGACACTTTACACGCATTGTCTCAATCAGTCCTCACAGCAAGCCAGAGGGGCAGGCACTGTGGTTATCCAATATCACACAAGAAGGAGAAGTAATTCAACTACAAAACCCAGCCAATAAGTGACACAGCCAGCAGCCATTCCAATCATGGCTCCTTCACTACCACTGTTCTCATCAACCACCCAATTATGACCCCTAAATGGTGCCCCATACTGTCCCACTGTGCCCATCATTGCTTCTGCTGGGGTTCTTGCCATTACCCCCATCCCTGCTCCACCACTATACCCCCTTGATTTCTGTGTACCCCTGGAGTACCCACTTTGGGATCCAATCACACAGACAGCCACCAATAGCAGGAGGTTGAGGCCCAATGATAACAGGATGAGGCGATGCTCAGAGCAGATATACCAGAGGCCAACCTGGGGTGGAGGTGCTGAAAGAGAAGAGGGTATCAGGAAAAGGGAGATCTAGGACATACCAGAGACAAAGGAGGGGGACTAGGGACCTGTGTGAGGATGAGACTTGGGCCCTGGTAATGCTGGGGGAGAGCAGGAGGAAGACTA